AGAGAGTTAACATCTAGAATGTCCTAATATTGTTATATATATATATAGTGAGATACAAAAATCTGTGATTACTAGTACATTTTTTAATTTAAAACTCTTTTCTTCACAAATTCAAAGAATGAAAAATCTTCTTGAGCTTCAATGGAAGAAAATCGGACAAAAAGTCAATCAATGCCACTAACTACCATTCAAAAGTTTGGCTTTTTTTAAAGTTATATTTATGGGCTTTTTAATGTGATCGGACAGGAAAGCATTGGGCGGAGAGAGGGGAACGGGATCATCAAAGGACCACGAGATGGGAATTTAACTCGGCCCCCGCAGTTGCGCTCTATGTCGGCGCACTAACCACGAGATTATGGGGACTGACGGCTTTTTAAAACAAAATGTATTCATATTTTTATTCAGCAAGGACACATTAAATTAATCAAAACTGACGGTAAATACATTTATAATGTTACAAAAAATTTCTATTTCAAATAAATGCTGCTCTTTTCAACTTTCTATCAAATAATCCTGAAAAAAAAAAAAAAAGAGTTATCACCATTTCCACAAATAAATCAACGTTATTCTTATGACCATAATTAATAACATTTTAAAGTTTGGGGTCAGTAAGATTTCCACAAATATATGAAGCAGCACAACTGTTTTCAACATCGATAATAATCAGAAATGTTTCTTAAGCATCAAATCAGCATATTAAAATGATTTCTGAAGGATCATGTGACACTGAAGACTGGAGTAATGATGATCTTTGATCCCAGAAATAAATTATATTTTATAATATATTTAAACAAAAAAAAGGCTATTTTAAATTGCAATAGTATTTCACAATTTTACTGCCTTTACTGTATTTTTGATCACTTAATTCCATCCTTGGTGAGCAGAAGAGACTTCTTTCAAACAAAAATCTTTGAGCAGTGCTCAATCTGAAATATTTCTCATATATCAAGCTCTTTGTTTTGAATTTTTCAAAATGCTGTTTTTTTCATGTTTAAATCCCAGAATATGGTCTCAGGCCTTTCGACCTCACAGTATTTAAAAAAAAACAAAAGCGTGTCTATATTAAAAGCTTTAGCACCTCGTGAGATACAAAAATCTGTGATTACTAGTACATTTTTTAATTTAAAACTCTTTTCTTCACAAATTCAAAGAATGAAAAATCTTCTTGAGCTTCAATGGAAGAAAATCGGACAAAAAGTCACAATCAATGCCACTAACTACCGTTCAAAAGTTTGGCTTTTTTTTAAGTTATATTTATGGGCTTTTTAATGTGATCGGACAGGAAAGCATTGGGCGGAGAGAGGGGAACGGGATCATCAAAGGACCACGAGATGGGAATTGAACTCGGCCCCCGCAGTTGCGCTCTATGTCGGCGCACTAACCACGAGATTATGGGGACTGACGGCTTTTTAAAACAAAATGTATTCATATTTTTATTCAGCAAGGACACATTAAATTAATCAAAACTGACGGTAAATACATTTATAATGTTACAAAAAATTTCTATTTCAAATAAATGCTGCTCTTTTCAACTTTCTATCAAATAATCCTGAAAAAAAAAAAAAAGACACAATTTCTGAATTGTTCTATTGTTGATTAAGTCACGATTTTAATGTTAGTTTCAAGTTTAATTTCTGTAATTTTCCCTGGTGTGAAACATTTTAGCCATTCATTTTGTTTGAGCATTGTGTTTTTCTACAGAACCTGGGCATGATTTGATTCGGCTTACTTTGACAAAGAAATTTTAAAATGCTACATTTGTTGTACGTGCATGTGTGTGTATATATATGAAGAATAAATGTATTAAAGTTTTATTACATTAAGTCATTTTATTTTTAATGGCTAATCCATGAATACATCAAATCATTTTATAAACTTGCCTGAAATCACTGACCAGTTGGTCTGTTATGGGTTAATCTGACATGGTTTTAACTTTGGTCTTCAGGAGGCACAATATAGATTAATAACGTCTTCTCTCTTTAAGAGCATGTATAATCTACACCACAATCACGGTCAAAGCCTTTTCCACTGAAAATAACACTCAGCGATTCGATTAGAAAAATAAGTAAATGGCAATGCAACAACCAAATATGACAATATTCGATAACCGGCACAAGAACAAATGGTAAACTGTATATTGCAGATATTAAAAAGCGCTCAAGGTGTTTTCTGTCCCAAATCTATTTTACTGCATTAGAAGAGCCACATAAGAACTCAAACTGGCTCATTTGCTTTATGAAGATTACAGGTGTTTGATGAAACAAATGGTACATGACTTAAAGGCACAATGTCATTTTTGCCGGTAGAGGGCACGTATTCAAAATAAATAATGAAAAGTGTAGTTTGATGACTCTGTGAGTGTGAAATCATACATATTGTGCCTTTAAACAAACAGTCGCTCATTTATGCTTCTGAAATGAACTAAAATATTTCACTACATTTTGAAAACGTATTCATATTGAAGCCGGTCTCAGGGTGAAGGTCTGATTTCTTCTGGTCTCTTCTGAATCCGCTGCTGTAATAGATGCCAGGCTTTCAACACCTGGGGAAACACACATGCATTAATGATGAGCTGCATGTTTTGAGGTTAATAAAGCCCATCATCCATCAAGTCGTTCCTGATCTGGTGTGTGTACCTGTCTCTGAGTAATGTCAGGTTCCCACAGTGTGCACAGCACTACGTTAGCATGTTCTATTAGCTGTGCATTCGGCCACTGGCTCTTCAGTCTCCTCAAGGCATCTTCCTCCTTGACACCGTCACGCTGGACTATACGCTTCACTGCCTGAAACCGAGAGAGAGTTAACATCTAGAATGTCCTAATATTGTTATATATATATAGTGAGATACAAAAATCTGTGATTACTAGTACATTTTTTAATTTAAAACTCTTTTCTTCACAAATTCAAAGAATGAAAAATCTTCTTGAGCTTCAATGGAAGAAAATCGGACAAAAAGTCAATCAATGCCACTAACTACCATTCAAAAGTTTGGCTTTTTTTAAAGTTATATTTATGGGCTTTTTAATGTGATCGGACAGGAAAGCATTGGGCGGAGAGAGGGGAACGGGATCATCAAAGGACCACGAGATGGGAATTTAACTCGGCCCCCGCAGTTGCGCTCTATGTCGGCGCACTAACCACGAGATTATGGGGACTGACGGCTTTTTAAAACAAAATGTATTCATATTTTTATTCAGCAAGGACACATTAAATTAATCAAAACTGACGGTAAATACATTTATAATGTTACAAAAAATTTCTATTTCAAATAAATGCTGCTCTTTTCAACTTTCTATCAAATAATCCTGAAAAAAAAAAAAAAAGAGTTATCACCATTTCCACAAATAAATCAACGTTATTCTTATGACCATAATTAATAACATTTTAAAGTTTGGGGTCAGTAAGATTTCCACAAATATATGAAGCAGCACAACTGTTTTCAACATCGATAATAATCAGAAATGTTTCTTAAGCATCAAATCAGCATATTAAAATGATTTCTGAAGGATCATGTGACACTGAAGACTGGAGTAATGATGATCTTTGATCCCAGAAATAAATTATATTTTATAATATATTTAAACAAAAAAAAGGCTATTTTAAATTGCAATAGTATTTCACAATTTTACTGCCTTTACTGTATTTTTGATCACTTAATTCCAGCCTTGGTGAGCAGAAGAGACTTCTTTCAAACAAAAATCTTTGAGCAGTGCTCAATCTGAAATATTTCTCATATATCAAGCTCTTTGTTTTGAATTTTTCAAAATGCTGTTTTTTTCATGTTTAAATCCCAGAATATGGTCTCAGGCCTTTCGACCTCACAGTATTTAAAAAAAAACAAAAGCGTGTCTATATTAAAAGCTTTAGCACCTCTTCCTCTGGGATGGTGGCCACCCAAACCTCATGCACCAAATATGTCCATCCCGCCTCGAGCAACACGGCCGCATCCACTACACAGACACGCTTACCTGAAAAGAAGAAGTGAGAATGAATCACACTTAAAACAGAAAAAGTTCAGCTAGAGCATGAGATGACAGTGATAAATGCTTCACCCTGTTCCTTTGCTTGTTTTATTCTTTTCTTCACCAGCAGAGCAATCTCAGGCCACACAATATCTGTCAGAGCTCTCAGACGCTCCTGAAAAACAAACACAAATACAATGTGAACAGGAGGGAAAATGTGTTCTGAATTCAATTATATTTATCTGTCGAGTTAAATTACCTGATTACCAAATACTTTTCCACCCAGTACTCGTCTGTTGATGGTCTTATCCTCATTAAGAATATCTGACGGCAAAAAAAAAACGTTTTTCTGTAGGGAAAAACTGCAGGCCAGTATAAAGTGAGATCCATTCGGTGACTATACACATCTCCTCTCCGTACCTGGGCCGAACTCCTGGACGACCTTATGATAAGCAGATGTTCCCGGCAGGTAGGCCTCGTGACCGAGCTGATCGCAGTCAATCCTCACGGCGCCGAGAGCCTCCAGTCTGTGTGCTATAGAGCTCTTTCCAGACCCGCTGCCGCCCGTCAGACCAATCACATACGGATCCAGAGGTAGATCTGGCTGCGGCTGCAAACACAAGAACAGCTAATTAAACCAATACTAAGAGCTTTACCTTTACGTGGATGAAATGTAAGTAATAAACAATAACTTGAATCTTTTGTAAAACTACATCAAGATAAAATGTGAACGCCAAGTGAAATGCTACAATATATAACAACACTTATGACCATAATTAATAACATTTTAAAGTTTGGGGTCAGTAAGATTTCCACAAATATATGAAGCAGCACAACTGTTTTCAACATCGATAATAATCAGAAATGTTTCTTGAGCAGCAAATTAGAATGATTTCTGATGGATCATGTGACACTGGAGTAACGATGCTGAAAATTCAGCTTTGATCACTGAAATAAATGATATTTTACCAAATAATACAATTGAAAACAGTTATTTTAAATAGTAACAATATTACTGTTTCTATTGTATTTTTGATCAAATAAATGCAGCCTGGGTGAGCAGAAGAGGCTTCTTTCAAAACATTAAAAAATCCTACCAACCCCAAACTTTTGAATGGCACTTTATATGAATAAATACATCATCTCAAAAAAAACACACCAATAGAGAGCCAAGCTAAATCATGCATCACATGACCAGCATGCACATGACTGAATGGTCTTCATTAAATTACACAGCAGTCACACAATGCCATGATTCTTTAAATGAATGTCTGAACACCCAGTGATACGGAAAAGACAATAAGTTCTGTCACTCTTTTTGCTTAACAATGGGTTTTTGTGCATAATCCTGCAAAATTGCCTGAGACGTCTTCTATGTTACAATCCACCCTGAATAAGAACACACTATTAACCAAGTCCTCATGGAAAAGTCTTCTTTCCAATAACACATAGTTAAATACGCCAGTCATGTTTAAAAAGACAAATATAAATATAACCGTTATGGACAAATGCATGATGTATGGATGAATAGATGAAACGCATTACGTGATTGTGGAATTGTAAGTACTATAAATTAAGATAAATGAATGCGGGATGTTCGTACAGATGGATGTTTGAGCAGCGTGCCCAGCATTCTTGTTCTCAGGCTGGAGGAACTGATCTTCTCCTCCTCGATGTCAGCATGGTGGGCATCTTTCAACAGCTGGATCTCGTACAGAACCAGTTCAGCCAATCCCTGCACAGAAAAGACCACTTAATCTCACACTATGAACAAATAAATGACTACAAATGGTGAAACATAGAGAACAGCAAAGTCCAAACGCACTGGGGTCACCATGGTCACACTGAATTCACACGGATAATTAAGTTCAAAGTTTAGTTCACACATGTCTAGTTTATGACTTACTGAGTATTAAACATTTGAGGGGCGACAATAAATCCGCATTAAACTTCATGAGAAAGACAAGCATTATAATGAATAAACTAAAATTATATAATTACTATAAAAAAATAAAAAGTCTCTTTTTGCTCACTAAGGCTGCATTTATTTGATCAAAAATACAGTAAAAGCTGTAATATTATGAAATATTATTACAATTTAAAATAGCAGTTTTCTGTTTGAATATATTTTAAAATGTAATTTATTCCTGTGATCAAAGCTGAATTTTCAGCATCATTACTCCTGTCTTCAGTGTCACATGATCCTTCAGAAATCATTCTAATATGCTGATTTGCTGCTTAAGAAACATTTATGTTGATACCAGTTTTGTGAAACCGTGATACATTTTTTTCAGGATTCTTTGATGAATAGAAAGTTCAAAAGAACTGCATTTACTTGAAATAGAAATCTTTTTAGTAAATATCTTTACTGTCACTTTTGATCAATTTAATGCATCCTTGCTTAATAAAAGATTTAAGCTATTTAAAAAAATCTAACTGACCCTAAACATTTGAACGATAGTATATATTTGTTTTACTAACATAAAGATATTCAGATATTTTTAAGTGTCCGAATACATTTTGAGCTACTGTATGGTTGTGGTTCTCTGGTCTAACGATAAAGATTTTTACAGGCATCGGTTAACAACCAATAACATTCTCACATTTTCCACACGCTTCCTGTTGACAGCTTCACCGCCTTTCCTCGTCTCCTCGCTGACCACAATGCACTGCAGCTCAGGGTCGCTTATGGATGGGCCGAAGGGGTCGGAGAGAGGAACGATTTCGTACTTGAGCGATGGCTTTACATCGTTCAGAAAGTCCTGGAGCTTCTGCACACGCTGATAATACGGCTCGATCAACTCCTTCAAGACCTTTTCTACACAAAAAGCAGAACACATTTAAGAAATTACTACAAAAAAATTCGACCATTTTTTTGCAGTCCAAACTGTTTTGACACATTTCCAAGCGTTTATCAGTTGATAACAACGGTGGCAAACCGTCTCAAACTCTACTACACATTCATCCAACTACCACGTAGATAAACTTTCAAAGCTTTTTTTAGAGCTGCTTTGAACAGATTTAGCATGTCATCACTTGCTCACAAATGGATGCTCTGCAGTGAATGGGTGCCGTCAGAATGAGTGTCTAAACAGCTGATAAAAACATCACAATAATCCACACCACTCCAGTCCATCAATTAACATCTTGTAAAGCCAAAAGCTGCATGTTTATAAGAACCAAATCTATCATTAAGATGTTTTTAACTTCAAAACTTGTGGATTATTGTGATGTTTTTATCAGCTGTTTGGACTCTCATTCTGACGGCACCCATTCACTGCAGAGGATCCATTGCTGAGCAAGTGATGCTAAAATGCAAAATTTCTCCAAATCTGCTCCGATGATGCAACGATTTTCATTTTTGGGTGAACTATTCGTTCAAAGCTTTCTAGAGGGTCTCCACTTACTTTTTAGTAGTTCCTGGTCACACACACCAATGACAAAGCGTCTGTTGGCCATCAGACAGGAAATATTCAGCAGCGTCTTGTGGGCCCCATGCAGACGGTCAAAAGTGCCGCCAACCACCACATCACTGAACGTCTCTAAAGGTTTTAATTGTGCACCACTTCCTCCTCTATCATCATCTTCCTCGACCTCTTTTAGTCGTGGGTACAAAAGCACAGATGAGAGAGTCGGGTTGCAGATGTAGCAGTGACGCGCGTACTTCTGCAAGCACTGGGTGACCAGCGAGGACTGGCCTGAATCCTGGATGGGGTAGTCTGTCAGCACTACTTCTGGCGAGTGGGACAGCGTCTGCGGGGTGGGAAAAGGGCCGCTGCTTCCGCTCAATGCCACAGATTGGGCACGGACGTTACTGAGCAGCACCCTGACGTCAAGGTGTGCGCAAATGTCAGCGGCATTGCTGTAAAGGCGGGAGATGAGAGCGCAGAGATCCACCACGGGCGGGATGTAGACGGGCCGCACCTGGCCACCTGTGCTCAGGTTGAGGCCGGGGTGGAGATGGACGTACAGTGTGCGCTCGACCACCTGGGCAGCAGACGTGAGGACAGGCGCGATGCGGAGAGGGAGGATGTGTAACGGAGACGTAAGGACCAGGATACCGGTGCTGAACATAGACATGATTGACAACTTTCTGATCTTAAGACACTGAAAGATATAATACAGATCTGATTCAAATTAACACATTATTTATGCAGTTCCATAAAGAGATACTTATGAAAACGTATATCTTGTATGCAATGTATATGCATAAAAATCTGTTAAATGAATAAATGTAAATAAATATCCAATTAGGTATCTTGGACTGTTATTTACATATGCACATATTGCAACTTTAAATTGTTTTAAGTACTTGTAATTTGTAAGTACACACATGCAAATTTTTCTACCTTATTTTATTATTTTGAGAATTGAGCTATAAGACAAATATAATTCTGATCTTCAAAGAGATTTTAAATAAGAGAACACAACAGAAATATCACTGAATTTTGAAATTTGCACACGGATTAAACTGTGCTGTATAAATAAAACCTGGCAAAAATAACTCAAATAATTAAAGTTTTTAAAAAATCTATAAAAATATAGCTCTCATATGAAATGAATGCATATTTTGATTAGAATAATTCAATAAAACATGAGAAAAAATACTGTAATAATTAGAATGATACAAATTTTGATTAATTCAATAAAACCTGGTAAAAATTACACCAATAATTGAAATAAAAAATAATCTTTAAAAATATAGCTCTTATATGTATCGTGCAATTTTTTTAATTAATTCAAGTGACAAAAATTACCATAATAATTAGAATAGAATAGACATATTGCTCTCAGTCGTGGATCTTTTGATTAAAATCCAATAAAACATTAAAAAAATTACTAATATTTAGAATAAAACGGAAAATAACAGATTAGAGGAATTTCACACACACACATATGCAGATAGAACTTCATTGAATACTTTAATAATTTACAGCAACTACATACGTTGAAAAATTGTTGATATCTTATATATTTATCCATAAATTATTCCAGATTAGCACAAAACAACATACTGTAGCGCCAGACTACTTGGAGCAAAACCTAACGTACCTGAGTATATTCTGCCGATCAGGATGTTGAGAAATGCAAAATGTGGGATATTATTGCAGAAGACAACTGTCTGGTATCGGTCTTCGTCATAATGACTATATAAAACACTAATGTTTTGCTCAGCAGAGCGAACTCACGTCCAGTTGACCGAGACGGCCATGTGCTGGAATACTGACTGATGATTGGCTAACAGAGGGAGTTCCTGCCCTAATGAATCATGGGAAGTGTAGTTTAGCGCCTTTCACGTCCCCCGTCCCAAACATGAACATTTCTCATCTTATCACTGTAAATGAACGAATGTAGTTATGTGATTGAATAATTGAGTACCTTTGATATGAAGAGCACATTTGAACACATTTTACATTTGTGCCTCATGTTTTGTCAACAATTTGTTTTACGGTTTACATTACATAACTGCATAATATTGTAGTTTTTCTGTACCAGATATAATGAAATGTATGCTTTTATCAGCATAAAAATGTTATTCCTGAGATAACCCCACTTTTCAGATCAAGGTCTAATTATTCAGAAATTCACTGAAATCTTTTCACACAATTTCACAATTGCAATTTTTCAGGGCTAGAAACAGGAGTAGTTTGTGTAATTCATTCTTCAAATCTTGATGAAGGCTGTAATATACTGTAAATATTTCATGGGAAGGTATTTGAAAGAATTTCTTTATGGCAGACTACTAAACAAGTATGAAAAGTGCTGCTTTTATTTGAAAAAATACAAAAATAACTTTTCAATTTGAGCAATTTCTGTTTCACAAGGTCTTAGTGATTATCATCTTGTCTGTGCTGGTTAACTAAAATAACTAACAAGAAATTGTAGACTGAAAACAAAGTCCATAACAAGTTCCAAAACAGTTAAACTACTCAATCTGAAACTAGTTATAAACTTTCAAGGATTCACAGGATCACTTCAAATATATTTTTGCATTCGGGTTGTGAATGAAAAAAAACCCCACAACAAACAATGTCGGCAAATTCTGTAGCAGTATTTTGTCTGGACGAATGACCCAGTTTTTTTTTCTTTTTTTTTTTAATATTACAAAACTGCAAAGTTACAGTCTTCATGTCATGTCAATATATTTTCACCCCATTTCACACAATTTTAGGGGTGGCAAAATAGATAAGTATATACATTATATCTGCCATAGATAAAAACCTGTAACGTCAGTAGTAACCAGAAAAAACACAGTAAATTGTTCTGTACTAGCACAGTAAGGCCAGAAACACACTCTATACAAACAGATACAAATGCTTGGCAAACTCATTGCAAGACCATTGATAACAGTACTCAAGGGACCAATAGAATTAACTCATTTTCTCAGCAAGTTTTCCTGCCATTGGTAATGACCGTTATCACACCCCTCACTGAGAATGCAAAGTGTACTTGCATTGCAGTATTAAAGATGTGCCAAATTAAGCTAGCTAGAAATTGCACAATTTGTTTCAGGCCTAAAAATTCAACACTTAAAACACTTTTTGCAAAAACACATTTGTAATGCAGTAAACCTCTGTATCTGATATATAAACCATTTAGAAGTTTCTACAAGAAGTCCCTCATGATAGCTTGGGCATTATTTTCAAAGAAAAGTAAGAAGTTAAATAAAATGCCAGCTGTTTTTATTTTTCGACTGTTGGTTGGACACCATATTAGTTTGATCCTCAAATACATTGTGGTCGTTGGATCAAAAAATTTATGGTCAATTTATGGTCTGAGGATCAAACAAGTTCCCTTCATTGTAGCCTTTTCAGAGTATATGGGAAGTATTTGAGGAAGATCCGTCGTGCAACCTCATATGTGTCCCCTAGTGGTTTGGACGGATATTTCCTCTGGTTGTAGACGAACCCTTTCTCAACCTGGAACACAGCCTGGTTGAAGACATCCTGTTTGAACGGTCTTCCTCGGTCCAGACACTCCACTAGCGTTTTAACAAACAAGCCCCAGCGCTGTAAATAATAGTCTTCCACTAGACCGCCCCACTCCTTGCTGGCGTAGTCCAAGATTTCCCCATCGGGTCCCCAAAGGGTGATCTGATTTCGTGCATTGATATCATACAGCTGCGCCTCATGCTCGTCCACACTCTGAGACTGAGCCTGCTCGTGCCAGACTCCCAAAAGGAAGTGTTCGTTGCTGGAAAGGAGGCGGTCCAGCTCAGGTAAGAGATCGTAGACAAGCACACCACCAGCGGTCAGGAGGTCGCGAAGCTTTTGGGCCTGAGAATCATACAAATAAAAGAACATTTCAAAGCTGTAATTTTATACACAATAAAGGTGCACATTTACCATTTTTCGACAAATTTTCATGGGCGAAATCCAGTCATTTCAATAGGAATCCATGCAATTGGGAATTTCGCACGAGGCAAAAAATTTCCCCAAGCAGATTTCGTTGGTCATGGGAATTTGGCGTGTTAACCACGCCAACAGAAAGCTGCTTGGTGTAAAAGTGACTTGAGCTGTGCTTTATACATTGCTACACGTTTTTGCCTACAAAATTTCACCAAAATGTTGCTAATACGACTGCACCTTAAGGGGGCGTTCGCACCAGCAATTCAGTTCAAAACAGAGCACAGTCCACGTACCGTGGTACCAAACTAACTGTAGGAACTGGTCTGAGTTTGGTTATAACGGGACCATGGTGTGATTCGCATCAATATGAAAGCAATTCGAACTTGGATACAAACAACAGTGAGTATGTAGTGCAATCGTGTAGAGCAAGTTCAATTAAAGTCACAATTGAATGGCTCGCAATAAATTGTCTCCTCAAAAGAGTCCGATTTTCAAGAAGCAGAAAGCTGCCTTCATGTGACGCACATAGACGCAAGTATCGTTCAATAGCACCAAATTAATAATAAAACACAATATATTGGTAATATGCTTGTTTGTGACACAAAATGAAAGCAAATGCACCAAGGTTTGATAGAATCAAGCGATTCCGAAACCAGATCAATGCCGCGGGGGAAGCCAGGAACAATCACACTTGGATTCGGACCGCAGCAAACGTGCCCAGTGTGAAAGCCCCCTAAATTTTCAAATCTAATTTCAATTTGTAATGTAGTTTAACTTGTAATCTAGTCTTCCTGTAGCTGTACAGTACAGTAGAGCATGGCGCTAACAATGCCAAGATCATGGGTTCGATTACTAGGGAATCAAGAACTGAAATCTGAAATAAAATGTGTACCTTTAATAAAGTGTAAGTTGCTTTGGATAAAACTGTCTGCCAAAAGCATAAAAATTTATAAAAAAATGTAGGAGGACTTGTTTGCTGGTTCATTGACATCAGACATAACTCTTTAAGTTTGGGTTTACCTGGAAAGCATTTCGTATTTCCTCGTAGAACTCAGTTGTAAGAAGCTGAAGCGCTTGTCGCGTCACGTCCACAAGATCGCACCGGAAAGTTTGCAAAGTGGCTAACCCTGGCGCGGCTTCGAACAGAAGCTCCCATGCTTTGTAGAAGTCAGTCGGTTTGTACCAAATGTCTGTTTGCATCCGCAGGGACGGACGATGTACCAATGCACTCCGGTTGTGGTTCTTGTATTGCGGAAGAGTGCAGTTATACACACTATGAAACAAGAGTTGCCAGGCCGCCGTCAGGTTCTCATCCATACAACATACATACAAGTCATGCGACACCCACTTGGAAAGGTTGATGGGTTCTTTGCGCCAGGCCAGCTCACTCATAAGTTCGTAAATGACTGGATTCTGTTCGATGCCTTCGGGAGTCAAACCCAGACCCACTAGGGTTGAATTCGGGAAGCAGATGGCATTGAAGGGGCCGGAGTTAATGCTTTCCACCGTTCCAAACAGACCGCTACTCCCTCCAAAGTTGTGCAGCATGCACCAGATAAACGGCTGGCCGTAGAAGGAGTTTGTGGAAGAGTAGACGGGCATGGATTCAGCAAAGAGATCCAGGACAATCATGCGCCCCAGGGGGACGCCGTGTAACAGTGCCTTGACCTGGTCTGGTTTCCAGAACGAAGGGTCACTGATAAATAGCCAGCCCTGCATCAGTCAAATTGCTTGAGGGTCCACTGCCAGAGAGAGAGTAAAAGGAGAGAATAAGAGACCACAACTCATCTGTGTGAGCAGTTGTGAGGGCGCCATGCCTCATCTCATCACGGGGATAGGAACCCCAACTGTGCCCCAGAAAATAAGCGGGTCATTTGTGGGTTTTAAAACTAGAGCAAATGCAATCCCAAAAAACCATGAGTAAATTCAACATCTATTACGTGAATTATTTCCCACACTAACCAGAAAGGGGTAACAACGGCATAGTTACCTAAAGTCATAGTATTGAAAACGGCACGGCTGATAGACGCCAGGTAAGCGGGGTCCGAAGAGGCTGGGACCATCTCATTAAAGGTGTCGGTGTTGTAAATGTGGTCTGTTCCGAACTCCTTAATGACCTGGGACAAAAAGAGCGCTCCTATTCGCTGGAAGAGTGGATCGCGTGGGTCAAGCACATAGGCGGAGGAGTAAGTGCAGTTAAAATGGCTCCAGGGGTTCAGCTTGGTCACATTTGCTTGGGGGAACAAGCTAAAAGGCATTGCTAAATGTGATTACTCCCGTCTTCACGCTCAAATATCTGCTAAAGAGAAGGAAATAGAAGTGATGTGTTCTTTGCACATTCTTATTGCATTGGCCATTTAGATACATTTAGAAATTTAAAAGCCATAAAAATGTGCTTGATAACCAACACCACTTTGAATTTCAAGATTTCAAGATTGAAATCTACACCAATGAAAAATCTAAGAAATCTACACATTTTGAGGAATATTACCTGGTAATACCTTCAGGTACGATTCCTGAAAAAGCAGGCAATACTACGGTGGCCGAGAAGTGCAGAACAAATCACAATTCTGAAAACAAAATAACAAATTGCAAATGCAAGTCTAAAAAACAAAATAACAATTCAGAAAGCACAACAACAATTCAGAAAACATTATAACAAGTCAGAAAACACAACGACAAATCAGACAAACCGGAAAAGGTAGGTATAGTTTGAGACAGCGCCATTGGTTTGGGATTACTCACCGCTGACTGGACGAGAACAACATATACAGGAAGAACCAGCCGAAGAACAGCAGAGTCGTGGTAGAAAGTTCGGAGATGGTATTAAAGTAGCTCAGTTTAAATGTATTGTATGAATTGCCCTTACTCTAGAATAAAAACAATACGGAGTGTATATTTACATTTAGTTAAAACTGGTTATAGAACATCAGCTCCAGTAGCGCAGATGGATAAGTGCTTGCCCTTGGCTTTTTGACACGATCGACCGGGGTTCGATCCCGCCTTTTGCCGACCTTTTTTTCCCTCCCTTTTCAAATCTCGTATCACATCGTAAAAGCATTTATTTTCAATAAAAATTAAGGAAATAATCAAAAAGTTGAAAGTAAAGTATGGGGTAGGGTTAGGGTAGGTGTAGGGAGGGCTTTATTGTCCCAATAAGGTGGCATCCATTTAATAATTTAAATTTTAATTATCATTTACACTCAATACGTTATTATTGCATACTGTTTTATAATGTACTACAATACTGAAGTGCAGATAATTGCCACTATTTGCAACAAGTAGTATACTTGATAGTAGAAATCCTGCTATTTTAACATAGTGTAACTAGGTATTTGCACTTAGTTTAACTAGCATATTGCTAAAAATACTGCTATTTTCACTTAGAGTAAATAGAATCCATTGCTAATACGAGATTTGAAAAGGGCGGGAAAAAAAGGTCGGCAAAAGGCGGGATCCGTCAAAAAGCCAAGGGCAAGCGTTTATCCATCTGCGCTACTGGAGCTGATGTTTCACAGCCACTTTTTACTAAATGTAAATATACACCCCGTATTTTTTATTCCATAGTAAGGGCAGTTCATACAATACATTTAAACTGAGCTACTTTAATACAATCTACAGGTATCATCCCAAAAGATCTCATGCCGTCCAAGATTTTAAACTGGAGGAATACAAATTTTTTTTTTATAAGAAAACAATTGATGCAACTAGATTTTTACATTTTCTGGTGCCACTTGCTAGTGTTATCATAATGCTAGGGTGTTGTGGGTGGTTGGAACGTGTTGCTATGCAATTGCTATGTTGCTCTGAGTGGTTTTTAACACCTTGAATCATATAAAAAAAGCATTTTTTGTATTATATTTGCACAATGCTTAACATAATAATTTTTTTATGTTTTATATGTTTTAAAACTTTAAAATATGAATATATAACTTTCAACTATTATAAATATATAGGTTTTACTTATGATTTATTGACTCTAATCACTGAAAATGCCAATCAGTATCAATCAATAAAAACTACAGTGTTGCCAAGTCCGCGGTTTTCCCGCGGTAGTTTTTAGTAGCAATTGAGAGGGTTTTTTAAAACCCTGGCAACCCTGATAACTTACTAAAATCACGACGTCATGATTTCGCCCCGGTTAAGCAAGTCAACTTATGGTGGTTTTGCTGTCTTTCTGCAAGCAATGTTCATTTCACCATGTTAATTAGATCATTTGTTATTAAATACATATTAATATACGTGACGTCCTGTTCAATCGCAACATAGAATCAGATTTCCCTGCTAATTCTAATTTGTGCCTGTTATGAAGTGTAACACCATTCATTACAATTAGACAGTTAAATTCCTTCGTCAGGGGCATTCTTTTGTTCAAACGCCCATTTCCATTTTATTTATATTGTTGTTGTTAGTGTGTGTGTGTGTGTGTGTGTGTGTGTGTTTCTGTCAAACAACTGAAGCCTTGTCGACATAATAACAAATAAACTATATTGCACAATGACTAGTCTCGCTTTTATTATTTTCCCCGACGAAGGAATTTAACTGTCTAATCGTAGCCTAAACGTTACACTTAATAAAATAGGCCAAAGTAAGAATAAGCAGGGAAATCTGACTCTATAGCAATGGAACAGGACGTCACGTACATACATGTATTTAATTACAAATTAGCTATCTAATGAACATGGTGAAATGAACCTTTTATTTTTTTTTTATTGCAATTGAAAAAATAACAACAGTTAGGAAATAACATGGGGCTAACGGACATCATCACATGAAGTTAGACAAGTTACACAAATTAAAAGAATATACCAATGATAAGAAGAAGAAAAAAAAGAAAGGAAAGTCTTTTAAAGATAGCTTACAATAGACTCGTTTTAGAAGCCTTTGAGTTCAAAGGATTTGACATATTCTTAAAAGAAGTAAAAAGGGACTTTATATCAGATGAAAACATTCTAAAGTTAGGTTTGCAATGAATGGTTCTGGCTTTATGAAGGTGAAATTTACCCAGAAGACAAAGCAATAAAACAATATGTTCCAGATTAATGTCCTTGGAATGAAAATCTGACAAAAAAAATGATAGATTCTGTTATTTCTATTATTTTGTTACAGCAGGAAAAAATTAACATGGTCACTTCTGACCAAAAAGACTCGGTGAATGGGCAATGATAAAACATATGTAGAATAGATTCTTCATCAGTATTACAAAATGTACACGTTGAGGATATATTCTCAGAGAATCTACTCAAAAATAAATTACAAGGGTAGTATCTATGAGCAATTTTGAAATGGAGTTCTTTAATTTTATGTGGGATAAATAGCCTGTGAGGAAAGGTCCATAAGTTTTTTTAATTCAGAGTTCGGATAACAAATCCTCCATTTAGATTGTGCTTTAGAGAGGCATCCTGGAGTTGAAGAAAGAGCATTTCTAATAAAAAAGTGATTGCATTTTTTATCTAATACATAAACACCATTAAATGCAAGTGTAGGAAAATGGTTGTTTACACAGCCATAACATAAATGCGCTTTAAACAACGTGTTTAAACTGACAGGGATACTTTTAGTCACCTTATTAAAATCTCTTAGTGAGATTGATGCACCTTTCAGAAACTAACCTTGTGCTTGCGAAAAGACAGCAAAACCACTAAAACTCGCTTCGCCGGAATCATGTACTGAAGCTGCGCATGCGCTGTGAGGGGGAAACAGGGGCACTCAATTCACCGGAACACCGATGAGAGGAGGCAGGGGTCGGGGGAGATTTAACTGATCTCCAGACCAGGACACATGACTGCCCACCGCCAGGATCTTGTTGTTCTAGAGTGTCATTAGACACAGTCCTGTTGACTGACACGATGAAATCCCGAGATCTGTTTCCCAGCAGTCTCCGGAGCAGATCCACCACAGCTCTGGACTGGCTTTTGTCGCTGGCGTTCGCTCTCAGATGCGCGAGAGTCTGAAAGTCGCTGCAGACCGACTGCAACAATGTAACAAACAAAACGCGCTGCGGTTACAGTGTATCATTCTGAGCTCTGTGACGTCAGCTGCACCGGCGCTGCGGATGTAGAGTTCAAAATGTGAACTTTTCTACTATCGATTTCCTTCGCGTGAGCAGGAAGCAATGTGTGGCAATGGAGAAGCAGACGACCAATCACGAGACTGTCTGGAACTTCAGCCAATAAGAACTCCAGATTAAAAGAAAAGGGGGAAACTCGGTTGTATTAATCACATGATCCCATTCTATTCGAAGTGTGGTCTCTGTAATGACAAACAACTGTTTTTATGAGGCTGTTTAGCAGCACAAACATAAACATACTGTTTGTCAGGAAGAAAATTAAAGAAATAGAAAACTGTCATCAATTACACATTCTAGTTCAAGTGGGTTGTATAATGCAAATTTATTATGGTAAGAAATCAAACAGCTTTTTACTGAACATCTCTTAAAGCTGGTTAGGTAGATAAGGAGGACGAACCCTTGGAACAGGAGACAAACTCTGAATGGCACATATTTAAATATAAAAAACTATGATAAATAATAATCAAATAACAATGATGATTATGATCATTATTATTATTTTAAAATAATTTTTACGTATTTAATAAACTGTTAAATCAATTACAGAAAAATGACAAGATGCATGTATTAATCTAATTTTGTTTATTTGTGAATTTTTAATTTCATTTAGTTTTAATTTTGCATTTTGCAGACGCTTTTATCCAAAGAGACTTACATTGCATTCAAGGTATACATTTTAATTATGTTTTGTTTTATTTTATTTAAATTTTACATTAAATTTAATTTTGTTTTATTTGACATTTTATTTACATTTACGGATTTGGCAGACACTTTTATCCAAAGTGACTTAAATTGCATTTAAGGTATACATTTTATTTTATTATTTTAAAATAATGAGGACGATACAACAATAAAAAATAAAAAAAAGCATATCACATTCAATGGAATAAATCAGTGCTGCAAATCTGTGTAAAGATGTTAGGACCTTTATTTTGACGTGCGTCCTTACGGAAGCCAATGCATCCTGCTGGGTTTAAAAGGTACTCTTCAGAATTTATAATTTCGCTATTTTAATGACGCTTCGGGAAGGATGTGAGTATAGTTAAATGAAAATATGTTTGTAGTTTTATCAACTATATTTATTAAATGATTAAGAAGCCCAGAAAGTTGATAGGAAGCAAACACGTGGAGATTTGCACATTAAACACCTCTAGTCTACAGCAGCATCTGTTTGAGAACTACATACAAGTACCGTATTACATAATGTCATTATTAAGCCCTCTGTGAATTATTACACAAATCTCTGTTCATTGTTAACGTGTGCAAGAACTGCATTCATGTACATGCACACATGCATATGGTGATAATGCAGTTCTTTTATATGGATCTCTCTGTTATTTATTTCATAGATCTGTGTTTGTTGTAACCATGTCAGAAGAAGTCCTGCTGGCTCGTGTGAAGGCTTTGGAGGAAGAGGTGGAGAGACTGAAAGCTCAGCTGAAAATAGAGAGAGATGGAGCTGGGACAGAGGAGAGGACTCAAACATCAGCCATTCTCCAAACAGAGAGCTCCAAACATCAGGAAGGTGGAGAGAACCGATCCAAACAGAAGAAACGAGGAGCCGAGAGGCCCTTTGACTTCTCTGTCCATCCTCGCAGGCATGTGGCACTGCGGCTGGCATATCTCGGCTGGCACTATCAGGGCTTCGCGGTCCAGGAGAACACAGACAACACCGTTGAAGCCCGGCTTTTTGAGGCACTGCTGAAGACTAAACTGATCCAGGACAGACAGACCTCCAACTATCACCGCTGCGGCCGCACAGATAAAGGAGTCAGTGCTTTCTCTCAGGTACTGTGATCTACTGAATTTTTGTGAGTTTATGATATTGATCATGTTTTCATATTTTCTGGGTTCCCACAAGAATAGAAAATAAAGATGGACCAGTGATGTTTTATACAGCTGATACAGTATAAATTATTTTTTCTGCGCCTGATTACTAATATTTAGAACCAGTTTTTAATTATTTAATTTTGACACAATAATACTTGTTAAACTAAGTATAAGTATATTTTAATAATAATTAACAACAATAAAATAAAAATAACATTTAGTTATTAATAATTATTTATGCCATTGCATTTATGCTTTTTGTGATCTGAATAGTCAAACATTTGTTTTCATATTTTGTAAAGTCACGGATTCCTTCTATTCACTTTTTTTCTCCTGGTTATATCCATTCATTCTATATTTCTGTCAGTGTCTGATAATAATTTTTTACTATATAAACACATTTTTAATTATTTAATTTTGACACAATAATAAATATTAGATTATGACAAAGTATAAAATGAATTGTGAATATTTTACTACTACTGCTATTACTACTACTAATTATTATTATTATTATTAATGCAATTACATTTATGCAGTCTTTTTGTGATCTGAATAGTCACAAGTTTATTTTCATATTTCTTAGTCATGGATTCCTGATATTTACTCTCTTCTCCATCAGGTCATATCCATTGATCTGCGCTCAACACAGTATGGAGGAGGTTTAGGTGTGACTGTCCCGGCTGGCGTGGAGGTCAAAGGCAAGGCTTCTGCAGAAGAGTTACCCTACGTGAAGATGCTAAATAGTGTCCTGCCACAGGACATTAGGATCCTGCAGTGGGCTCCTGTAGAAACCGGCTTCAGTGCACGCTTCGACTGCCAGTCCAGAACATACAGATACTACTTCCCTCGAGGAGACTTAGACGTGGATCTCATGGCAGAAGCTGCTAAACGGTCAGTTTATGACAACATTAACACTATATCCACATTTTCTCTGAGTCTGCTTAAAGAATATTATGTACAGTCAATCAAAAAGTATCTGAACATTTAATTATAAAAGTGGACAACAGTTTTTATTTTAGAAGTTGAGTGATAATTACGTTCCTTTGGCGACGCAGGTATGAAGGAACACATGACTTCAGGAACATCTGTAAGATGGATGTAGGTAATGGAGTCTTGCAGTTCCAAAGGACCATCTTGTCTGCCTCCATCCAGCCAGTCCAACCCAACCCCACCTGCCCTAATGACCCACACCAACTCCATGTCTTCCAGGTCAAAGGTCTTGCTTTCCTCTATCACCAGGTGAGGAGCTCATCTCATACTGGAGGCCTTCAGAGCTGAAGCTGTGGTTCTCAACCAGGGGGTCTCAGGATACTTTCAAGGGGGCTTCAAGATGACTTTAAATGACATGCAGTTAGACAAAACAAGCTTTAGAATGAGCTAAAATAACGTATTAAAGAATTATTTTCTTTCAAGCACCAGAAATGTCTACTGTCTTGGGTTCTAGACCTGGAAACAGTGTTATTTAAGTATCATTGAGATACTATTATAGTTTTTATTAATAGTTTGAATTAGTTCAATTTTTTTAATATATATTTTTGTTAACGTTTTAGTGATTCTGTTATTTGTATTAGGTTTTGGTGACACTTTACAATAAGGTTTCATTTGTTAATATTAGATAATGCATTAGTTAACATGAACTAACAATGTGAAATAGTTTTTTTTACAGCATTTATTAATGTTAGTAAAACTGAATTGTTTGTTCATGTTAGTTCACAGTGCATTAATGTTAACAAATACAATACTGAATTTTAATAATGTATTAGTAAATGTTGAAACATGAACTAAAATGAACAAATGCTGTAGATGTATTTTTCATTGTTAGTTCATGTTAACTAATATAGTTAACTAATGTTAATAAATGAAACCTTACTGTGTTACCCGTTTAGTTTAGTTTTTTATATGTCTGTGTAATTTTCATTCATTTTTATTTCAGTTTTAGTTATTTCAGTACATTAAGTAAAACTAAATGAAAATGAGAAATGTTTCCTTGGCAACTAGATGACAAAATACGTTTGTTTTTTTCTGTTAACATAAAAATAATTTACATGGTTTCAGTTTTAGCTAACTATAATAACACTGCCTGCAAAAGTCAAGTAAATGAATAAAATCCTAAAACCTGAAAAGCATAAAACGATTTAATAAATCAAATTATTTTAATTCAAATGGTTGTTTTTTAACAGAAAGTAGGCGTGACAATAGATTAAAATATATTTTCAAATATTGTTGTGTACAGTGGAGAACATTGGTGTCAAAAAAAGTTAATATTTATTAATTTGTTGAAATGATGTCTTCAGTATGTAGTAGTCAATAACCCTATTATTTTCCTGTTGAGTTTTGATGTATTCGATTTTATTGAAGTTAGCAAGGTGTCTTTGCTATTTAAAAAAAATAATAGTACACAGTGTACACCACAGTGTTTATCAGCTGTAGCCAGCATTCCATTCTGATCATAACCAATAACTTTGCTTTTCCAGGTTCGCTGCATGATGGCTTTGCTGTTGCATATTGGACAGAAGCTTGAAGCTCCAGAAATCATTGATCAGCTGCTGGATGTGGAGAAAAACCCAAGGAAACCTCAATACAGGTGAGTTTTATTTCAGTATTTCCATAGCTAATTCTGGATTCCATGTGAAGTGGCATATTGCTTTGACCAGCAAGAACTTGAGCTTTCACCATACTAAAATTTCAGATCTGTAGGAACTTTAATATTCTTGACTAAATTAGTGACTGTTAATTAAAGTTGTCTGTGTTTTATAGTATGGCGGTGGATTACCCTTTGGTGCTGTATGACTGCCACTTCGAGGGTGTGAATTGGAGGAATGAAACGGAGGAGAAGAACCACGTCCTGAACTCTCTGCACCAACACTGGGTTCAGAACGCAGTGAAAACCCAAGTTCTGCTTGGCATGATCCAAGGCCTTCAGAAAACAAACCCAGGTGTGCGTCCATGCAGAAACTACGACTCAAAAACGATTGACTTGTATGTCCGGAATGAAATACTAACATACTGTCTGATGTTTATCAAAAAAGTAGCATGTAAAAACCATTGTAAAAGAGTTTTTGTTTTCTTAGAGATGACATCTCTGCATTGTTGGCTCATGGAGGGCTCCAGGCAGAGGAAGTACCAGCCTCTTCTGGACCGGCCGCGCTGTGAGAGTTTGGAGTCCAGGATCCAGCACTTCGTGAAGAGAGGAAGACTGGAGCAAGAAGAAGGAGAGAACGGGGAGGAGACGACTGTTTTCAGGGGGAAAAGATCAAAACATTCCCATCTGACAACAACAAACCAAATCCAGGAGCAAAACCATGGAGCAAAAACCGAGGTGCCTATTACAAAACCTTAAAACATACTGTGCAAAATAATATGAATTTAACTTTGTTCTCTTAGCAGCACAATTACTTAATTTTCTGTTTTGCCAAAGAAACTCTTTTATTAATGGATTGCTCCGTGTTCTGATCATGTGTGAATTTGAATTTGAAATGAGATGATGTTGCTCATATATATATATATATATATATATATAGATACTACATCAGTGGAAATGTCCTTAAAGTTGGCAATGGCCATTTAGTGTCTTTATTTGTATTGATTAAATTACTGACCTATAGATATTAAATCCATGTGGTTGCATTATTAATGCCACATCTGGACCTAGAATATGTTGGATTTTTTTAAATGTCCCGTTTTGTAAATAATTATGTAATATCATATTGTCAACAAAATCAGTTCAATGCAATGAACTGATGCCAAATTGAAATCTGTTTCAGGATCAGTTCAATTCATCTTAAATATTTTACATATTTTGAAATTAACCTTGATAATAGTTTGGGATCAGTAAGACTTGTAATGTTTTTTAAAGAAGTCTCTTATGCTCATCAAGGCTGCATTTATTTGATCAAAAATACAGGAAAAAAACAATAATCATGCAAAATGTTATTACAATATAAAATAAGGGTTTCTATTTTATAAAATATAATTTATTTCTGTGATGCAAAGCTGAATTTCCATCAGCCATTACTCCAGTATAAAGTGTCACATGATCCTTCAGAAATCATTCTAATATGCTGATTTATTTTAAAAGTTAAAAAGAACAGCATTTATTCAAAAATATAAATCTTTTCTAACAATATAAATCTTTGCTATCTCTTCTTATAAATTTAACACATCCTTGCTGAATAAAAGTTTTAATTTTTCAAAAAAAGAATACAAATTTACTGACCCCAAACTCTTGAACTGTAGTGTATATTGTTAGAAAATATTTCATTTTTAAATAAATGCTCTTCTTTTTAACTTTGTATTCACCAAAGAATCCTGAAAAAAAGTATCACAGGTTCCAAAAAAATATTATTAAGCAGCACAACAGTTTCCAGCACTGATAATAAATCAGCATATTAGAATGATTTCTGAAGGATCATGTGACACTGAAGACTGGAGTAATGATGCTGAAAATACAGCTTTGCATCACAGAATAAATTAGATTTGAATATATATTAAAATAGAAAAACGTTATTTTACATCATAATAATATTTCACAATATTAAATTTTTTCCTGTATTTTTGTAGTGTATATTGAAATGTTCAGCATATCTAGAACTGGCAGCTTGTTTCCATGCTAAATTTGTACTGTAGTGATTCTGTAGTGATCAGAAATTTACGAATTGTATATAGGCAGCCTACAATGTACAAACAAATCATGTAACAATTCAACATCCCTGAGAAAATGAGCGATGCAAACACCATCCAGGCTCACGTCTATGCTGGTTCCTTCAGGGTTTCTTGCTTTTTCAAAACTACATAAGGAAAATAAAGTGCTATTCTTTATGTATTCTTCTGATATCTCTTCATCCGAGATCTCTACATCCTCCTGACCAAATCAGCTTATTACAGAACACAGTCATTTCCCACAGTGTGTCTGTTACACACCAGTGGAAATGACTGGAAGAATACTGCCAGAACAAAACCACCTCCTCATCCAAGGCATACAGTGGTCTTGAGTCCGAGGCTCTTACCAGGAGTAATTATTTTACAGCTCTCGACTCTTCGGTTTGAGCTGGAGCCCATGGTTTAGATCCTTTCAGCTGTGGAGACATGAAGGGTGACATTAATTTTCCAAGACAATATTTAAATGTATATAAATACTACTTATATTTCCTCTTTTTTTCTTTTTTTTCCCAGCTTGCAAATTAAAGAAATAGTTCAGACCGAAATGTTTTGTTTTGTTCCTCTCTCAAAGATATAAGACTTAGAATATAGCAGGGTTATTACAGTTAACTAAAACTTAAAACTACTACAAAAAAAAAAACCCATTCTATTACTTGAAATAAAACAAAAGTTAACTGAAATAAAATGTTTTAAAAATATTTTATATATATATATATATATATATATATATATATATATATAAAATATATATATAT